TCTAAGTTAACTCGTGCTTGATGCATGCTTTCTTGACTCCTTAACTGTTATTGATTCGCTTTCTTGTAATGTGAATTTATTCAATTACTGAAGAATAACAACTGATTTAACCGTTTCATTAATAGTAAGGTTGGACTACGGAAACGATCATTGAAAAAAAAAATCACGCACTGTAAATTGGTTTTCATTGATTCCCACATCATCTCGCGGCACCAGGCACAGGGTCTAGAGGAGATGTGTCTTTCGTTAGATCATCAAAACCCGTCGAAAACCTCTGAAAAAATGGGGTTTTTTTTATCGCGTTACAGTTTCGTTAGACATTCTATATACCGCCAACCAAGAGACTGAGGGCTCGCAAGATCGGCTTACGGTATAAAATACGGACTTCGTGCCTCGGTAGCCCTTCGGGCGACTTACTGTTATTGGCTTGCGGTTATTGATTTTCAAAATGGCGAACAACAAAGGTTATATGGGGCAGATAAGAAGCGAAGAAATCGTTTACAGTAGATTCATAAAGATCCCATTGGGCTAATTAATCGTGCTAGGCGACAAGTATAGAAATTTTTCAAGGTGAGATTTTAAATAAGTAATTTATTTATTCACACGAAACTCCTCTGGACCCTGTGCGCCAGGTTGCTTTTGGTGAATAGCGTGATTTGCATACGGCTGATTACCCACAGGACAACACGGTCTTACCCACTCTGACGAGTGTTCACGAAAATATCCGTTTCAAGGCCCCTTGTTCCTTGAGGGTCCTTAGTAGGTTTTTCGGGATCCAGCGGGATTTTCTCATTTGAAGGCTGGGATTCGGGATTTCAAAACAAAGTGGGAGCGAGATTCGGGATTGAATGTGTGTACGGGAGGTGGGATTCCGCCCGGGGGTACTCCCTTATATGATCCAAAAAGGTATGTACCGCCCCAAAGGGTATGGTTTTTGGGCCTTTTTGGTCTGAAAACTGGTAATATACACTTTGTCCATTTTGTTTGGAATCGGGTGTGGTTTTCGAGGGAACTGCGGGAGTGTATGAACATATTTACTGTTTCAATTCCAAATGAATAAGAACGAAATAGAAATATGCGAATTCGAAATGCCTTTGAAGAATATTTTTGTTGGCGCTCCAATCTAAGTAATGATAACATAATTTCTGCCTAAAGGCCAGGTCTGAAAACGGGTGTGGAAAATGACATTTTTTGGCCTGAAATAGGGTCAGAATTTGGAGAACCGGGCAGAACACCCCCACAAGAATTCCCAGGACTACCACCCGGGACTCCAAAAATATCCATGGGATTACGGGATTGAAGAAAAATGTTAGCTCGGGATGACGGGATTGGAAACCCTTTTTCTTTTCCCCCATTCTAGTCTTTTTTGAAAGATTGTTGTGTTGAGCGAGTTTTGAAAGTAAACCTGCTGGGACAGAAATAAAAGAATATCCAAATGGGACGAATAGAGGGGAGAAGCCGTTACGTCACGTTGCCACGGTAGCAAAATTTCTGCATGTCAACAAACTGTGGCCCTGCAAATATATCTTGCGGAAAGAAAAAAAAGAAAAAAAAGTTGACACCGAGTCTCTGTTTAGAAACAATTTTCAGATCCAGAAATTTTTTCCATGGTAACGTGACGTCACACTTCTTTCTATTTGGCCACATTCATAATCGTTTATTAAGTCAAGGCAGAGATTCGCCAGAAAATCACCCCCCGGTAAAGGAAAGGCAGGAGCACCTACCACATCCCGTAACGAGGAAATAGAAGCAGCCTATCACAAAAACGACAACATTAGCATACAATAGTCTCGTTATATCATAACAAAGTCAAATGCTATGTTTCATAACTGTTAACAAAACCTTTTATCAAATTCAGAATTTTTTAGCCCTCAGTAAAAATGCTATAATTTTGATGTGGCAAAAATAGTTAATGGTAAGCACAACACTAAGCAAATAACCAGTTACTTTGAAACAATAGTAATATAGCTGTTTGGGCCCTTGCATACACAGTCACTGTACGTGCTATCCTGCACGTCGAGTTAGGGAAATTAGTATAAAAGACATTTTGTTTCAAATGCATAGGGAAGAGAATCTACCCTCCCTTCTTAATTACTACCTTATATATGTTAAACAGATATATGTACCTACATGGGGCCCTATTTCTCTAATATTCTCTAAAATCTTGGACAAATTTAACGGAAAATCAAGACCCCCCACCTACCAAATCAAGGATAAGAAAATGGTGCGTTTTGGCCGGACGCACGCCTTCAGCTGCCAAAGATTGTCGGTTGTTGATTGGGTTCCATTTTTAAATATTTTGATCTGAGATGACCCATGTAATGGGGTACAACTATGAAATACCCAATGCTTCTGTTTACTCAAATTAGCTAATTTCAAATGCACGAAAATATTATAGATATTAATTATATAAGGATATTTTGGTCTGAGATGTGGCAGGTGGTCCAAGGCCCCAGAGAAACTATTATTTGAATTTCTCCCCCCCCCCCCCCAACCCAATCAAGACCCCGGTGCGCTACCTCTAGGTAGATTTGAAACCTAGATAGCCGCTTGTTACAGTAATCGCTCGATCACGAAGATCTTACCGTAAAATAGCGGACTATAAACAGTCTATGACTCATTCGAAGACACCGGAAGGTCAAAATACTGTCTGAAATTTATGCAACATACACCTTGAAATCATTGGATGCTAATGACTTACAAGTCACAAGTCTGAGTATGCGATATTTGTTTGTTGATGTTAATCTTGGCTTTAAATGTTGTAGTTGGAGTTAAAGAGTTTCAGAATGCATTTGTCTTGCTAACGTCATTGAAGTTCATATTGGTACATTGTTTGGGGTTTAGGCCGAGAGATAATATTTGAACATTGGAGGCAAAACAATTCTGATCGCCTGTATTCGATTTGTAATTTTGTGGTGAAGGAGGAAGATGGAACTGCAACCGTGATCTTTCATGTTAAAAGGGCCAAGCCGCCTACGCTAAGCAAAACTAAAGCATGAATTTTTCATTGGAAAACGCACATAATTGTTTTCTTCCCCGAGATCATGGCATTGGACTAATTACCATCAACGCCATCGTTAGCGTACTAGGTTCACTTGGTAACTTACTGGTTTGTATGGCAATTATCATAAGTCCTCGTCTTCGACGAAGCTCATACTATCTTCTTTTCAGCTTAGCAATCGCTGATTTGATTGTCACCATGGTATGTGAACCTCTGTTTTTGGAAAGTCTCCTCAAGAGGACATTTTTTAACGAGTGCGCAACAAGTTTGGAGAGACCGTACACCATTTTATCTACTCTTTCTTGCTCGGCTTCAGTATTTCATTTGGCCGCCATCAGTTTTGATCGTCTAATCGCCGTCGTCTTCCCCATACGCCACGAACACTTAATGAACAAGTGCGGAGTAAGAATTTTGTTGATAATATCATGGGCATTCCCAATTTCAATTCCCATTTTGATTTTTGTCCTTCCACCTTCCTTTCCCCAAGGCTTCACAGCCATGGGAACATTCGCGTTTTGTTATTTTGTTATCATACTTTCATACACCCTGATCGTTGTATTTCTGCTCATCTACAAGAAGAAAAGAAGGCAGATGAAAGCTGGAACAGTTTCTGTGAATATGACTGCCCGCACAGAGGTCCGTGTTGCCGTCATGCTGGCCGTTGTGATCGGTGTTTTCACGGCTTGTTGGGTGCCGGTGATGACCGCGATGTTTGCGAGTAGTAAACCACTCATGAAACGAAATGGCCCTCTACACATGTGGCTCCGGACCTTGTCTCTTTCAAACTCAGCTATGAATTTTTTCATTTACTCTGCAGTAATCAGGGATTTCCGTGATGCATATGCTGGTATCTTTCGAAAAATGTTTCGCCTATGAAGTCTGTTACGGACTTGGCTATAAAGCTCGTTCAGGAGCTAGCTAAAATATCTTCAGTTTCTTTTAGCTGAGCTAGACAAATTTAAAGCTTTGATTCACCAGTTGCTTTCAGTTGATTTTACACCTAGAAGACACCCTTTTAAATGCTGGAACCAATGCCAAGGTCGGTCATTTTGTTAGAACGCACAGATTGGCCACTAAGGGTGCCTCACTCATTAGTGCTCTTCGTCAGTTTTAATTATAACTCTGTTATAATATTGGCCTACCCGTTAACAACTACAACATGATCAAAGACAAATTGACAATGGTTACATGGCTCCAAGCTTACGGTCTTTCTATGGGGCAGTTGCGTTTGCTCTAAATCCATAGTAGCCTTTTTAAAGCGGAAGACTTTGCCAGTTTATGAGGACTTGTCAACATATATTTTCTATTTGCAAGCTGACATTTCTGCACTAAGTTTGCTGTTTATGCGCCATGAGGAATGTTAGAAGGCTCTATAACTGAGATTTACAAAGCTGATCCCAAGTATCATTTAATATTACAAACAATATTTTAAATTACAATAATTGAAACTTTTTAAAGTAACACTTTCACCCAAAAATATCAGCTTTATCCATAGTTACTGCAAATTATTCGGAATATATATTCACAGTTCTTTTTAAAGTAGAATATATCAAATAATCTTTATTGTTTGTTGTGGCTGTTGGATATTTTGAGTCCTCCGGTTTTTTAACTGAGAAGGTGACTAAATGACAAGAACGAAAAAGGAAAACAAACAGAGACAATATACAGAAATCAATATAATGACTTAGAGTGTAAATACTCCTACTTGTATATTATATTATTACTGTCATGATAAAGTTACGAGAATACGGATCACCAATACTATTTCAGAGGAAAAAATTTTCTTAATAGTCAAAATCTGTGAATAGCAGTATTTTGTTTTATAATCTTTTCATCAACGAGGAGATTTGTAACATAGTCTGTTCATGTGCAGTTGTATTTATGTTAAATTAAAACTGCTTTAATTGATTAGTTATAAATGGCGTTATAGTGAACTTTGAATAATCTCAGAACCTCTTTAGTTTAGTGCTGCATGATTTTGACTATCCGAGAAAAAAGAGGAAGAGATTGGACTTGCGCACGGCATCTGATCATTTACGCTGCCGAAAGTTCTAAACTTCACTATTGGTTTGCGACCACGTGACAAGGCGGCCATGTTGGGGGTCAATACAATAGAATTTTTGCTCGAAGAATTTACATGAAAACAGAGTTTAGTTCCCAGAGAACAGAAATGCTTTTGTTTTTGACCACCAACCGCTGCCGTGACGTCACGTGCATACAAGCAATTTGATTATAAACTTTGCCCACGTACCAGGCTTTCTAGGTACGATTTTAACCATTTCTAATCAAAAAAGGGGAGAGATTGGACTTGCCCACGGTAACATTTACGCTGCAGAAGTTTCTTAAATTCACTACTTGATTGTGATCAACTTTGTCCACCGTAGACACCAGGCTCCCTTCGTACGATTAATCCGGTAATGAATAAAGGTCAATGAACGTGAACAGGCCTACCGGCTAACGAACTTTCGAGCCCCATTCTGTAGCAAAAAAAAACAGTTCCAACACTTAACCGATCTAAGACTACCACAATATTGTTGTGTTTATTCACTTGGCAGCCTTAAGTTTTAGGTTTACTTAACATCGGGATTTTAGTTTCCGAACAGGCATTTTGTTTCCGGATTGATTAAGTCTCAACCTTCCGCCTATTTTCCAATCATTTTTCAGCCAAGTATTCGATAAAGTGATCATGTAGCCGTTCTGTCAGTTAATGGCCTCACTTTTGGCTACTGAAACGTTAAGCTGGGGTTTAATATATTTCTTTAAGTAAGACTTATGTTGAATGCTTGAAAATATGTTACTACGCAGGGCTCAATATTGTGCTATATACGGTCAGGTTGTTGTTAGCAACTTTGATCATTCTCATCAACGTTGAAGCGTGCTTCCAATGGCTTTATATATAGTGCAGTAAAATTTTGCAAAGTAAACAATTACATGCAAAAACAAAATGATTATTATTTCAATTCTTGTTGGCTGACCCGTCGAAGTCTGAGAAAATTCCAAAAATAAAATTCCTAAAAAAACCTAAGAAATTAATTAGCCCCTTGCTCTAACATATATTTAAGGCTGTTGAGCCTGAAGTTACACAAATGAAAATATGATTTAAACATTAAAACAGCAGCTGTTCAAAAAAATTTTCATCACTATTATAATAATAATAATTATTATTATTATTATCATTATTATTATTTATTATTATTATTATTACTACTACTACTAAGTCTGCCCACACTTGATTTGCTTAGGTGGTTTCTAGGTAACAATATAAGGAATATGATATAAATACTCAAGTCGTCAGAAGACTAATATTGTTGATATCAAAACAACCTTATATGGAGCGACATGTTATCGGACGGTCTTCTGAGAGAAAACGTATTTGAGTTTATCCTAAATAAAAAGTCACGCGAGACTTAAAGATCACGAATAGTGTGGTAAGTTTTATTCAAAGGCACAAAACGAAAGCCTCGAAAATGAGTGAAGTACTTCCTAAATTTATGAAATTAATTTAAGATTGTTCTGCTATTTAATAAAAAAAATATGATACATTACTAACAAGCCTAATTATTGTAAGATTAATTAATACTGCCATGCCAGTATTCAGTCTATATTTTTCTACTTCCCACAACTAACCTCATAATTAATTTAAAGTGGGCGGAAATGCTCTTGAGGCAGAAAGCGATTTAACGAAGCACGCAATCTCCAATTCAATTTGCATACATCTGTTATAAGGCCAAGAGAATCAAGGAAAAAACGACTGCGAGTTGGCTATCATGAACAACTCACTGGAAGACAATGACAGTTGTTCCCTCCCTGTAGCCCATAGCGTCTTACTGATTGCGGTAAACATCAGTGTGGGTTTTTTGGGAACGCTCGGTAATTTGTTGGTCTGCGCGGCTGTCGCTACGAACCCTCGCCTTCGTCGTAGCTCCAACTACCTTCTTGCCAGCTTGGCGATCGCTGATTTAATCGTGACTATGGTATGTGAACCCATCTTCGTAGCGATCCTGAGCAAGATAATCTTCTTCCAAGATTGCGCAGCTGCCTTGCAGACACCCTATATAATCCTATCCACTCTCTCCAGCTCCGCTTCAGTCACACACATGGCCGCTATCAGTGTGGATCGTTTCATAGCCGTCGTCTTCCCTCTACGCCACGGAAACATCATGCGAAAATACGGGTTGAAAATCATGCTAGTAGTGGCTTGGTTTTTCCCGATGTTATTTCCCATCTTAGGGGAGGTTTTGCCGGACTCGTTTCCCAAAGCATTCCTAGCGACAGGAACGTTTGGTCTTAGTTATGTCATCATTGTCGTTTCGTACCTTCTTATCGTGGTATTTTTGTTCAAAATCAGGAAGAAAAGAAGCCAGTTACAAGCTAGACGAAGCTCTGAGGATAATAATTCCCGGGTGGAGGTACGTGTCGCATGTACACTGGCCATTGTGATCGGCATTTTTTCTGTTTGTTGGTTTCCCTTGATGATCCTATTGTTTGCCACGGGGGGTTCAATTGTGACTCCCAACGGACCTGCGCACTTCTGGATTCGAACCTTGGCCCTTTCAAACTCGGCAATGAATTTTCTAATTTACACGGCAAGAATCCGCGAGTTCCACGGAGCATACACTGGGGTGTGTCGAAAGATTTGCAATCTTGTAGGGAACAAATGCTCTTACAAATTTAATTCTAACAGCTTCACTATCCGACGTCCGCGGAGAAAAACTGCAAGTTACGTCTTCCAAGATGTTGGAAAACCCGTAACAACAAATGAGAGTACTGAAAGCTCCCAAAGTGCTATGGAGTTTCAAGTAAATGGCGAACGTTATACTTTACAACGATGGGGTACAGTTTAAAAAACAGTACAGTGACTCAGATTCAAATGTGCCCTGGAATCATTTTTATTTGAACTGCTCGCCTCGGGACATGGGTTCTCTGCAGTTTGAAAAGAAAGAACCCGGACGAAATTTTCAGTTTAGGAAATAATTATCTGAGCCGTGAAGAACTACTCAGAGTTAAGCTCTTAATTCAAGTTGTTTGTGCTAAAGGATTTCTGCTAGGACTCGAAATTGGGCCTTTTGCAGTTATATGCTGCCAGGTTTGCACTGTTTTCTTCAATGCTAGATTTCCCCACACAAATTTAGAATTCCATTGATTAAAAGCAAACATTATGAATTGATATGGCACGCCAATCAAGGCCAGACATCTTACTGACAAAAAGAAATTTCATGTTTGTCATACACATGCACAGTTCTCTACCGACTATGAAATCTTATTGGCCTAATCTGCTTAAGCAGTATCTTTTTGCATGACATAGATCGACACAGAGCTTAGTACAAGCTGGAAGAAAAATTTTAATCAGTTGTCCCCGAAAAGACGCTGTTCATGGATGTTAAGTTTAATGATCCCGAAATATTAAAGACAAAACATGACACAGAACAACAAAACTAGTTCAGTTACGGCAGCTGTGTAGGGCTTAAAGGGACTGAGTTCTGAGACCGTCTGAGGACTCATAATTTTCTGATTTGGCCTTGTTAGGTATATTAAAATACCCAATACAACTGAAAAAGAGATACGGAAGTAACTATAAAGACAAAGAGGGGGTTAAAAGATACTGCAAGGTCAGTTGTATTGGGTTATCTTTTTTTTTTTTTCCACCATATCTGATATAAGCTGTTAACCGATCAGATATGGTAGGTTGTACTTACTTGGTCAATACCTTGTCATGACAATTAAAACAGAAAGTGGTCAAGTCGAGAGGCTCTTTCACTTTAAAATATTTTATTTGTGTTGATTTCAATTTCACGTCTGCAATATGCAAGTGTATATAATGGCTTTGCTTTAAACCATAATATTAACTATTTTTATAGATTAGAGGAAAATGTAAATATGAATAAACGTTTTGTTTCTTCAATCCTTAGCTCTTAGTAATGACTGTTGTAATTCTGAACTAAAAAATAAGGAGTATGTGATAGTCTAGGCCTTTTTTGAAAGAAGGGTGCTGTATATATAAGAAGTTTAATCAACGGTTTAAAGAAGAAAAATAAAGAAGGCAATGAAGAAGAAGAGCATATTTCTCTCACGCCTGGTTTTCAATATTTACAAAAACGAGTCACGTGTTGTCCCCAAATACTATACCTCATACACACCCCGGGGATAAATAGCCGATAGGTTTAGAAGTAGGCGGGAAAACTATAAGTTGGCGAGTTGTCTTCAAAGAAAATCCTAAACAAACCAGTGAGAATACTGTCAATTTTTCTGTTTTCACCAAGAGTCTCGGGCTGAAGTGCACAGTTTACAAGTGTTCAAAGGAGCTATCTAAAAGAGAATCGCGATTTTTAAGGTCAATTCTGTGCTAACATCATGCTTAGTGCCTTTAGATATACAAAAAGGCTCTTATAGGGATATAAAGTAGACATCAAACAAATCTCATCAGGGAGCACTAACCATAATTTTTGGCGATTTTTGTAGCCACAGTCCCATTTTTCCCCAAGTTTCAATCCATGCCCTACCTTACAATCCGTAGCAACAGACCACAGGAAACAGTTTCATTGCCTAAATATAGTGTTAAGTAACAAAACTGCAGGAACATTTTTTTAGAGTCAAATTGATAAGGAGATACGTTTTAGCTTTTTAAAGAGATAGCAAAGGTATGGCATAGCCCCTCCAAAAATCGCTAGCCGCAAATTTAGGCCCAAGAAACGAATGGTCTGGTGTGAACCTGGCATAACGAAAAGCAATGTTAACTGAAGAACATTCTCTATAATTTCAGGCGTCTGGGCCGAGTTACTTTAATAAAGCAGAACTCAGTATTAGGATAACTGCATGAAAACGTAAAAATGAACTTCCTATATAGTGACCTTATTTGCACCACTTTAACCTAAGTTCCTTTCCCAAACGGATATCATGGAAGTGTCTCTTTGAAACCCCCATTATCGTTAATTGAAGCTGGTATTAATTGTTCATTAACTTCATCGTACAAGTGACTAGTATTCGCACACTTCATCCGGAGGGAGACAAAAGTACATCAACGGCACCTATTTCTAAGCCCCTAGTGGAACTATTAATGGTGAGGCAACACGGTGTCAAAAGACTTTACACTGGGGGCGCTACAAAGGTGGTCACTGAAGTATAGTTTTATCACTGGCGACGACTTGGGAAAAGCAGAGAATCTCCCTCTCCCATAAAGGCTGTTTAGGCTTAGTCAGTTGCAAGGTAGGGTACTTAACTAGGACGGTCCCAGCCTTCTTTTTTTTGTCAACAAAAAAACTCGAGAGTAACTTTCACCAGGCTAAAATAAAAATCTTGAAATTTAGGATGAAAAAGAAGGCTTCTTTATGGACCTCATGCTCAATGAAACTCTCCGAGAAAATAAAGTGAAAAATAATTTATTTGTAAACATACCCAGGCCCAGCAGGTATATACCAAAAACATCACATTTGCGATATATCAATCCTTACTTAGGTTTACTTTATTTCTTGGACGTTACAGGCAAAAAATGGTACGATACTTTACCTTAGTTGATAAGACAAACTTCACAT